ATATATACTCTCTTGGGTTCACTCAGACGATGATCTCTCTCTCTCTCTCTCCAACGCCTAATGAACTGTTGTCTTAACCGGGGATATGATTGATGAGCGCACGGATGGTCTGTTAATTGATAATCAAATTTATTGAATATTTATTTTATTGAAACAAATCATTAATTAATGCATTTTAAAAATGTATTCAACAGCCGAGCCGTTCAAATACATGTCATCTCCTATACTATACAACATAATTCATGAGTCAATTAATTTAATTTAATTACAAGAAATTCATTTAAATTTCATAATAAATGGTCTAAATATAGGTATTTTCAAATGTTTAGCGTTTTATACATAAGATTGTGATCATAAAAATTAAGTGAAAATCACAGATCATATCATTTTTGTTGTGTTGTATAACTCATAAAATAATTTCACAATTCTTTAAACTATAATTACAATTACAATACAATAGAAAATATATATAAAAAATCAAAAACAAATTTTTAACAACAATTTGTATTCACAACAGAATATGACAGCAAAACAAAAAGAAAGTGAAAAATAATTTTCATTTCATTTTACACGACAATCGACTCAAACATTTAAATTCATTGTATTTTTGTGTATAATTTGTTGTTTTTTGTGACAAAAAAACTTGAGCTGAAAATTGAGTGAAAACACTGGTATTGTTTTAATCAGAATTTCATTTTGGCATTAATTTAATCAAAAAAAAAATTAAAACTTAAAAAACTATAACAAAAATGATAATTTCAAACATTGAAAAAAACCCTAAAAATACATTTCATGTTTTGTGACCTCAAACTTGAAAAAAAAATCAAATTTTAAACAATCACTTCGTTTCATAACTATTAAAACAAACAAAAATTTACATTAAAATCAAATTAAATACTTTCTAATTAACCACATTTAAAATGCAAATGCAAAACCAAAAATACAATCAAATAATTAATTTCACATTAATTTCTCGGTTCAAAATATAATATCAAAAATTAATTAATTACACAATTTGTTTCCCAATACAATCCAATTGAGGCCTAAAATCAGCAAAAATAAAGCTCTCGATATATTTATACGTTTGGAAACAAATAAACAATTATACAAATTATAATCGCTTTCAACCATCGATTTATACATACAATTCAATTAATTAAATATATATTATAATTAATATTTAAAAAATATATTTACCATTTGAATGAATTGTAACCAAATATTTATCATATATTTTATACAAAAACACAAAAAATATATTCACTTTAAATGAGAGGAGAAAACCCATCGTTGGAGTGGAAAAAGCAATCAAATTATTTTGAAATACAATAACATATGCCATAAATATATTCATAAATTTAGTTCATCCATAGCTCTCTTCCCTATTGAGTATTCAAACAAAAACAAATCAATTGTGTGTTAAATACACGTCTAAATCATGCGAGGAATATATTGACTAAATAATCGCTATAATAATTATTACATAATAATAAATAGGCATTAAATCGTATAATGCACTGAAAACCACAATTTTTTGACAACCATTTCTCTCACACACTATAGGAATATTGGTTTTCATATACCGTTTATAATAATAATAATCTCATTTGATTTCGTCCTCGAGTTATAATCAATAATAATTAGTCAAACAATCAATAAATTTCAATGAATTTGTCGATAAAAATATCAATAGTTGTGTAAATATAATGAATGTGTGGCGAGAAGTGTGAGAGCGATAGGAAAGACAGCGCACAGAGACAGTAGTGATGAAACGCTTAGGTTAGAGATCTTGAGGAGAGGGGCTGTCGGGTGTGGGACCCGTCGGGTCTGGTGCTGACCACTCAAGTGGTCGGACAAATCACTTTCAGTATATAATCGGTGAGAAGTGTGGGCACAGTAGGGCTGTCCTCATTGATAGCACGCAATACTTCAACACAAAGATAAATCAATAATTAATACCACAAATCAATACAACACACAATCGATACATACTTTTGATGAGTATCTGAAGAGTGGCCACTGTTGGCGGTCCGCGACCCGTGTTGTACGGTATGACTGTTGTCAAGTACTTGGGCTCCAGAGTGCGGCCCCGTTTGCGGTCGATGTGGTGCTGTCGGCGCTTATTCTGGACGCTCAACAACAACGAGATGAACGTATTCTTCAGCTCCTTCTCGAACTCGAGCTCATCCCTGAGCGCCAACTCATTGATCAGTGTCTCCGAGTTGTGTTGTATCATACGCTCCAACTCGACGTACAGCTCATTCAACTGAACCGATGAGTAGGTCTTCAGCTTCTCTTCGTAGAGGAGGGCCGCTATCGAGTGCTTATCGTCGGCCGCTTTGCCGCCACCACTGGTGGGCGACTTGTCAGTGGAGGCGGTGTCCGAAACGGTACACCCGCTGGACGTCGACTCCGACTCATTCATCATAATCTCGTCGATCTCTTCGAGCACCTGTTCCGCAGTGAAGATCGGCTCCTGTTGTAGGCTCGCCAGTATCAGCGAATGCATGTCCAGCTCTTTGGCCAACTCTTCCTCATCGCAGGTCGGGTCGAAGAGATCGGCGTTCGGGTTATTGTTGGCCGCGTTTGTCGCCCGCATTTGCGAGGCGTTTATGTTGAGCGCCGGTAAGTGCAGACTTCGGGCGTAGGTTTTGCTCCAATCGATGGGCAATATATTGCCGTAATTGCCGGTCAGTGTCCACCACATCCTAAACA